TCCCCGAAACGCGTCAGTGGTTTGACCGCACTGACAGTGAGAACACCTTGTCCGCCGTTGTGGCCATTGTCATTTTTCTATGCTTTTTAGATACATGCTTCGTCTGTGAGTATGTATTTATTATTTCATTCCTACAATAAACCTTGGATAATGCACTAGGTGTGTGCGCCACCTGTTTTCTCTCTATCCTAACATACTTCCTATCTTTGGGTGATAACACTGCTCCTCTATAGGCATGGTGAGTGAGCATTGTCAACATAGGACATGTGTTACTGGCATATCACTGGTGAAAATAAAATTAAAATAAATGCAGGCATCACATCTAAAGACTGGTAAGCTGCAAAATATACATTTTTCATTGTTGGTTGTAGATACACCTTAATCAAAATGAAGTGTAACTACAGATCAGGTTTAAATTCCCCAGCTTCCTAAAATGTGTACCATGCACTATAAAATAGTATTTGACAGAAACAGTTGCTACGGGGGCATGTGCTGATGTAGCAGCTTGGTACCCTCAACAACTATCAGTACTTTTCTTACTGGCAGCTAAAGTATGTATGGGTTATGGGCAGTAGACATTACTGAGTATTACTGAGTATTACTGAGATATACATCAGATTCAAACTCCAAAAAGTCCAGGCTTTATTGCTCCATAGATCCTATGCTTAATGGAGCTCACTGGAAATATTACTATTCTACCAGAGAAGCGACAAAAGCTGTGGCCAGGTGAAAAAGAATGACTCTGCTTAGAGAACAAGAGGATTTCTTTAAATCAAATGACTCATTGCCCTACGAGAAGGCTCAGAAAGAACCAAGGAGGGATTATTAGAGAGACTAAGCATAAAGAAAAACAGCACATTGAATACCATCTTGAGAACAATAATCCCCATAGTATTTGTAAAGAAATTAAAATAATGACATATTTTAAAGCTAGTCTTCCACAGATTAGCAACACTGTACTGCCACTGATACCCTAATAATTTCTTGCATATTTATATTATTAAAACCTCAGATGAAACCCTCATTAAAGAACCTATGAAGGGGCATATACTCATATTATGTTCATAAAATATGAAATCAAATTTGAGGAGTGATATCAACAAAGTAGCAGGACCAGATGGGATGTCAGTTCATACATTGAAAATATGCGCTGATCAGTTATCAGAAGTTGTTACCAACATTTTTTATTTTGTCCTATATATAAAAAATTCAACTATATATGTTTATTTAGTTGTTTTTTTTTTTTATATCTACACCACTTGCACACAGCTTTATTATACCGTACAGCTCTGACGCACTTTTAAAGATTTTTCATTTTGTTATTGCAATGAGTTGCTGTTTTTATCTGTTTTGTATTTCAATAGTTTTTATTCGTTTTAAGCAGTATAAAACAGAGGCGACAAAACATGCCCCCACAGGGGCTATCAATTGCACCGATAAAATAAAAAACATAATAATAAAAGAAAAACAGTGCTCTAACTTCAACAAGGCAGAAGGTACGCCCACGCAGGGGCCTTCAATGGCACATAGGTTACAATGACGGTAATGAAATTCTAACTGCAATTAAAGGCAACTGTCAACTATCACCCAAAAAAAACTAACAGAAATGGAGAGAAAGAAAGAGAAGAGAAATAAGAGGAGAGAAAAAGAAAAAAAAGAGAAGAGGAGGCAGAGATCCAGGAGCGCCACCATCAAACGCCAATGCCTAACGCCAGTACATCCCCATACTAGCCAAAGGAAGCGTGGGAAAGGCATATTGCAACCATGGTTCCCATATTTTCGAGAATTTACATTGGGAGTCGTTACATATGCTCGACATCTGCTCATTAAGCATCATATTGGTCATACGATCCCGCACCCCCTGAAAAGGGACAAACGGACTCTTCCAGGCCTGAGCAATCGTTCTGGTGGCCGACAGAAACAAATAGGATGCCAGCTTCTGCTGATGAGCAAAGAGACCCGGTATGGGGCAATGAAGCAAGGCATACCGAGCATCCCGGCGTATGGATAGTTTTTATCTGTTTTAAGTGCACCCTGATAGTTCCATTACCCAATAAATTAGCAGTTGGATGTCTAAGTGACTATTGCCCAGCTGCTTTAACTCCAGTGATTACAATGTGGTTTGAGAGGCTTGTACTATCACAATCAAGTCCAACATCCCCAATGATCTGGATAAACATCAGTTCTCCTACAAAGTGAACATATTAACTGGTAATAGTATCATCAATGCATTGCACAAATCCTTGACCCATCTTAAGCAGCCAAACACCTATGTTACAATGTTATTTATTGATCTTAGTTCTACCTTCAGCATTCCCCCACAAGCTGGTGTGCAAGCTGAACAACTTGGGCCTAGACCCCCTCACTCATGGATTATGGATTTTTTAACTAACAGACCAAAAACTTTCAGAGTAGAGATTCTAATATATATTTTCAAAAAGGGAACCCAACACACACACACAAAACTTAAAGTGCTACTAAACCCAGTACCCTGCATTCACGATATCTGGTCTCCTACACTACACAGAACATGGAAGTGCAATTATTTTAGTACAAAATAAACTGCTAAATACCTTTTCTCATCAGCAGTTGGAGCAGTCTTGTGACTTCTAACAGTGTCCAGCAGAGCACTGGTTAAAGTTTGTAGAAGGAATTTTCATTTTGCTCTAGAAGGATGCAGAACCTCTGCCCTCTTTCTGGACAGTGCTGATTGGCCCTGTGCTGATTACATACACTCTCCCAAGAAAAAAACCTCTCTAGCAATATGTAGCAAAGTGAGCATGTGCAGAGTGTCTCCACAGATATGTCTCATCAGGACTAGAGAGGGACACAGAAAGAAGGGAGTGAACTCAGTGAACTCAGTTTCAAACAGTTTATACCCAATGTAGAGGTTTAACCCCTTAAGTTCCACAGTGAGTATGATAAGTATGCTTTACTGCATATACAGACTGATTTTACTGTTGTGGATTTGGTAACATCTAAGTCCCCCCCCCAACCAAAAAAAAATGCACACCAGGCCTTTATCTGAGCATACAGCCTAGCAGGCCAGGGAAAGGAGATACATTGAGTGTGCAGCTCCCCTTCCTACTGAATCATGCCATGGGGCAAACCTCCTCTAGAAAGGTTATGAGGAATCACTAGACAACTTCATTGGTACTTTGAATAACAACACGTTAAATATTAGTTTAACCTACACCTATAGTCAGGAGGAAATTAACTTCTTGGATCTAACACTCATGAACAATGGGATGAACATAATGACTAAATCCTTTTTCAAGCCTACTGATAGAAATAGCTACGTACCTACAGATAGTTGTCATCACCCTTTTTGGTTAAAGAATATTCCTAAAGGGCAATTTGTTTAGACGGAATTGTCAAAATCTATTTGACTTCTGTTCACAAGCTAATATTCTTAAGGATAGATTCCTTGAAAAAGGATATGCTAGTAATGTTTTAGATGACATTATCACTCAAGTGGCTAAACTGGATAGGATTTTTCTTTTCAATACCCTGAAAGTGAAATTTGAATCTCGAATAATTTGTCCTTTTGTCACTAGTTTCTCAGTGCAACATTTTCAGGTCACAAATATTATGTCCAAACACTGCAACATTTAAAAAAATTATCTCATTCAAGGACTTCCTTCCACCCAGACCAGAAGTTATTTTCAGGCGGGCACCGACTTTGAAGGATAAAATCGCACCAAATGTTGTTAATCCCCCACAAGAGATTTCTTTTTTTAAGGACCTTAAAAGTTTTTTCCCGTGCAATCATTGCATGATTTGTCAACTGGGTGGAAGAAGGCGGACTAAAGTCACCTCCTTTACCTCGAATGATACCAATAGAGCCTACAATATTAATTCCTTCATCTCTTGCAATAGTCGGTATGTTGTATACCTCCTAGAATGCTCCTGTAATAAACAGTATATCGGGAGGACCACCAGACGTATGAGCGACAGAATGAGGGAACATTTGTATAGGGATGTCACCATAGGGATCCACACGGTATTAAATTGACAGAAATTGATGCCTTAAGCCCCTCTTGGAGAGGGCGCAATAAGAGAAGAGCAGTATCTCAGCTTGAGACCAAGTGGATATACCAACTGCGCTCTTTGACTCCTATGGGCCTTAACTTAGATATTGTCATCAATTGCTTTATTGATAACAGCTGAATATACATTTAGTTGGTTCTTACTTATTTTTTGATATTCATTATGTATTGTGATGTGTGCCACTCATTTGAATTGCCTGTCTTTTTGTTCAATTTTATATACCTTTGTATCCACATTTTTCCATCCAATTGTGCTTACATATGCTTATAACCCTTGCATTTCCATATATGAGGTATTTTTGAATTATTATGCTATTTTTAATTATCCATAGGGTATTATCCCTTTAAACACCTATGATCACCTCTCACTAATATCATTTGTTATATGGAGTTTGTTTTTATCCATAGCTGGTATATTGTTGTGGATTTCTATTAACCTCCCTGCTGGCGGTATGATTATTTCAGATATTTGGTGCTGAAAGTGGTACCATTTTTTTGCATGGAAATATGTATTTTTTTTTATTGTAAGCCTGTAATTTTTAGGAATAACTCACTGAAATCTGTCCGAACAAGAGTCTAGTAAACATCCCGGGTATGATAAAATTTGAAACACAAAATCATACATTATAATTTAATAAATAATCATAAAAATAATAATATAATAATAATAAATTGAATTCAATAATATAAATTTTAAATATAGCGCCAAGTTCACACATCACTGAGTAAAGTCGCAAAATCGTTTTCAGTGTCTGATGACGAATTTCCCCACGAATCATTATCACTCAATTCTGCAAGTGGTTCTGATTTACTATCGCTGTTCTCTAGCTGGTCTAAAACCGCTTTTGACCTAAAGGGACGTTTTTTGGACGCCATGGACGTTTCTCAGTTTTCAGGCAGAAAGGACAGTAAAAATGTAGGCAGGGCACAGGACAAAGCACTAGGGACAAAATGTATGTGAAATGGTTTGATACAGTAATGTTATACTATGTGATTTTAGTGATTTTAGTGAATGTCACTTTTTATCATTTTTTAATTTCCCGCCGTTCCATTCCGTCCCCCGTACGTCCAACGCTCACTGGGGAAGGAACCCAGAAGACAGATGCCAGCATCCACCGAATTACATTGCCGGGGACACTGCAGGAGGGACATCGTGGGAGCGCAGGACAAGGTAAGTGATCAAGGGATCGTGGAGCAGCCCTGCATAGTATTCCCGAGTGTAGCTCGGAGTTACTGCTTGTGGTACTGAAACTTTACCCCAAGCTACACTCGGGAATACAGCCAGGGAGGTTATTGATCGTTTTCTTTCTGAGAGTGATCTCTCCTTTTATATTTATGTGAATAGTATTAAGATGTTTGTTCCATTTTGTAGTTCACAGTATCATGGTTCCTGCAATATAATCCATGCAGTGAACACTTCCTGATCTGTGGACTTTCCCTCTAGAAGGATCTCCCTGTTGGTTTTCCTAAGTCTATTTACTGGAACCTTACCTGCTGATGTCACACCATCGTGACCGAAGCTCGATACGGTGGCCATCTTGGTATGTGTTGTACACACATATGAATGCTGCATCCATGTGGATTGTGCTTTTAAGATTTTAATAAATATTACACTATGTGCCGAACCTTGGGCTCCTGTGGTGAGCTTTTCCCTCTAGAAGGATCCCCCTGTTGGTTTTCCTAAGTCTATTTACTGGAGAAGTCTGGTCCCTGTATATGGCTTTCTGAGATCTTCCATAGGATCAGCACAAATGCTACTATTACTATTATACAGTATTTATATAGCGCCAACAGGTTGCTCAGCACTGTACATTATAATGGGAGACAGTATACGAGACAGTACAGTAACAATACAATTCAATACACGAGGGGTTCAAGGGCCCTGCTCCTTGGAGCTTACAATCTAGGAAGGAGGGGAGAGTGGTAGAGGAGGAAATAGCTGTGGTGGATGGAGTGGTGGGAAGAGCGTAGGAGATCGGCAATTTGCTGAGGGCAGGGTAGGCTTCTCTGAAGAGATGGGTTTTCAGGGTGAGCCTAAGGGTGAGGAGGGTAGGTGACAGTCTGATGGATTAGGGTAGTGAGTTCCAGAGAATGGGGGAAGCCCTGGAGAAGTCCTGGAGATGGGCATGGGAGGAGGAGACCAGAGAACTAGAGAGTAGGAGGTCTTGTGAGGAGTGGAGAGTGCGTTTTGGGTGGTAGATGGATATCAGGTTGGTGATGTAGTTTGGGGCAGTGTTATGAATAGTTTTGTACGTCAATGTTAATAATTTGAATTTTATGCGTAGGGCAATCGGAAGCCAGTGGAGGGATTGGTAGAGGGGGGTGGCAGATACGGAGCAGTTAGTAAGGTGGATGAGTCTGGCCGCAGAATTCAGGATAGAAGCGGGGATAGCCTGTGTTGAGGTAGGCCGGCGAGGAGGGAGTTACAGTAGTCAAATCATGATATAATAAGGGAGTGAATGAGTTGCTTTGTTGTTCTGGAGTTAGGAACATGCGTATTTTGGAGATGTTGCAGAGGTGGAGTCTGCATGAATTTGTCAGCGATTGGACCTGGGGCTGGAAAGACAGATTGGAGTCTAGAATGACACCTAGTACTCTGGCTTGTGGGGTGGGGCTGATGGTGGCATTGTTGGTCGTGATGGAGAGGTCGGGGGCGCAGGCATCCAGTCTGATATGTCGTTCAGAAGGCTGGTGATTCGGGCAGAGACTGAAGGGGTGAGGCGAGGGGTAGAGAGATATATATGAGTGTCATCGGCATATAGATGGTAGTTGAAGCATTGGGAGTGTATCAGTTGACCAAGGGAGGAAGTGTAGATGGAGAAGAGAAGGGGCCTGAGGACAGAACCTTGGGGGACCCCAACAGAGAGGGGGAGTGAGGGGGAGGTGGCAGCATTATAGGTAACACTGAAGGAGTGCTGTGATAGATAGAAAGAGAGCCAGGAGAGAGCGGAGTCTCTGAGGCCAAAAGAGTATAGTTTTTTGCGGAGGAGGGGGTGGTCAACCGTGTCGAAAGCCGCAGAGAGATTGAGGAGTAGTAGCACTGAGTAGTGGCCATTGGCTTTGGCGGTTAGCAGGTCGTTGGTGAGTTTGAGTAGGGCTGTTTTGGAGGAGTGTAGGGGACGGAAGCCAGATTGTAGGGGATCAAGGAGGTGTTGTCAGTGAGGTGGGAGCTCTGGGGACCCTGATGTAAGAAGGGGGAACTCTGGGGACCTCAATGTAAGCAGGGGGCTCTGAGGACCCTGATATAGGAAAGGTGACTTTGGGGACCCTGATATAAGGTGCGGTGATTCTGAGGGCCCTAATGCAAGAAGGGAATAATTCTGGGGACCCTGATGTAAGGAGGAAGGCTCTGAGGACCCTTATGCACAGAAGGGTGGCTTTGGGGACCCTAATGTAAGGGGGGTGCCTCTGGAGACCCTGATGTAACCTGATGTAAGGGGGGGTGACTCTGTGCACCTTGACCTAAGGGGGAGGACTCTGATGGAGAGGGGAGACCCTGATGGGGATTTATGATGTAAGGGGGGAATTTGATTAGAATAGGGGAGCTTATCCTGACTGCTGCACTCTATATGTTGTTTTGTGTGATAGACTGGCTTCTGATGAACAGTCCTGTAACATTCGATTGCACATGCAGACAGTGGCTGCATTGCTGATCTGTGTATTCTGACAGTGGGGGGAATCACTCAGTCAGAATATAAAGACACAGCAGGGAGGTTTGCCCCATCCACCTGGAATGTGTGGATGGGGACATTTATTCAGTTTATTTTGTTCAGCTGCCTTGCTGAATGAAAACAACTGAACCATGTATGGCAGCTTTACTCCTGTCCCCTGAACGCTATACATTATGTTGTACATAGTTCTGACTAAAGTGTTCATTGTCCCAACAGTTGCTCATTTTAATAAAGTTTTTCTTTAATGTAGGCTCAGTCAAACAAAGTGATCTGATTCTGTGCAATCAGCATATGTGACGGAAATTTGAATTTTTTTTTTTCAAATGATCATTCATTCTGAGGTTTATATGTGTTTTTAAAACTGTTTCTTGTGGCAAAGTAATTAGGAAAATTGGACCGTGGTAAGTGTGTGCAGTGTATACTGCAAGAAGGCACAGATACAGTGTGTGGGTACACAATTCAAGATTTTTCATTCAAACAGCAAGATGAAACAAAAAAAACCTGAGAGCTCCCCACATACAGTATAGTCAAGCGATCCTGATGCAGGGATCTCTGACATTGAGACATTGTATTTTGACAGGGGGACTCCCCCCTTCCAGAATATACTGATCAGTGCTTGTAGCCATTGGTTGAAAGCGCAGATTGAATGCTGGTTTTCCAACATGCTCGTTTAACAGAAGCCGGTCACTAGACTGGCTTCTTTTGAACAGACAGTGGTACATACAGACTGAAAGTCACACTAGTTCCTGCTGAACCAAGAAATCTTTGGCCCATGTGTAACGTACTAGGCTTTAGGCAAAATCTGTATCAGCCCATCATACACCATTGCATGCTATGTGTGCAACTGAACTTGTTTTCCTGCTGTATCCCAGGGTTCTTCAGTTCTTTTATTATTCTAGTTATGCTCAGATTTTCTCACTGTTTTGACTTTCTAATTGTAAAGCCAGCGGGGTACTTGTTATGTGTGTTGTCAATATTGAAATGCTGTTTATACTGTTTAAATATTGATTCTACCAGTTTTTAACAGGAATTTCAGTCATAAAAACATGCTCATTAAAACAAATATGCTCCGTCAGTAAATTTTTCATGGTTTGTCAGCAAAAAAAGTTGGGAGGCTGGCAACACTGGCCCGCACCAGTGGCGGAACTACCAGGGTAGCAAAGCTCGCATTTGCGACTGGGCCCTGGTATTCCGCCACTGTGGGGGGCCCGCTGACTGAAGAAAAGCACTAATTTTGCTCAGGTTGGGACTTGGAAGATGCACACTCACCATAGTAACTGCACAGTGGACCATCCACCCAGTCTCTTCACCTATTAAATTTTCAGCTGCAGGCAGATGGGGCATGCCTCGGGGAGCAGAAACTGAAATCAGCTGACCCTGGCCAGTACAGTGAAGGGGGAAGAGCTGGAGGGGGTTGCTGTGTGAGGAAACCCATCTCGGGACACTTAGTGACAGATACATGTGGAGGGAGCTGAGAGCTTGCATGCAGACAGGGGGAATTGACACTGACAGACAGGTGAAAAGCAAGTGAGTGTCACTGATCCCATCCAGCACTGCCATTGATCCCATCCTTCCAAGCACTGCCACTGATCCCATCTCCCCCAAGCACTGCTACTGATACTACCCCCACCCCCAGCACTGCCATTCATCCCACCCCCCAGCACTGCCACTGATCCCATCAACCCCCCCCCCCATCACTGCCACTGATCCCGTGCCCCTCCAGCACTGCCACTCATCCCATCCCCCCCAGCCCCAGCAACTAATGTGTGAGTGGTAATGATATGCAGTAACCTATAGCAACCAATCAGTGAGCAGTAATAATGTGCATTAGCCTCTAGCAACCAATCAGTGAGCAGTAATAATGTGCATTATTCTCTAGCAACCAATCAGCAAGCAGTAATGATGTGCAGTAACCTCTAGTAACCAGTCAGTGAGTGGTAATGATATGCTGTAACCTCTGGCAATCAATCACAATCGCTGCCTGATCTGCTGCAGTAAACTCCTTTTGAGTCTAGCTGCTATTTGTTGTATGTCTCAGAGCAGGCGGATAGAAAAATTGCAAGGGTGGGGGGTGGGGCAAGAGAATATTTGCCCAGGGTCCAATCAATATTAAAGATGGCCCTGGTGTCGATATATATATACTGTATATATGCATATATTTACTGCCGTTGTCAAAGAGTTATCATGTAACATTTCATTGTATTGCATACACTAATACTGATAATAAATGATCTAATCTGATCTCATCTAATTAACTTTAGGAAACATAAGTAGTGAGGGGCCTTTCACTACAAAGTAAAATAATAATAATGATCAACAGAATGCAAATGTTGTTTAAAATGAAAAGAACAAACCCAACAGATATATTCCCTATTCCAGAAATGTAAAGGAAAAAAAATATTGTGTCATTCTAGCTGTGCAGTATTGTCGGCAAGTGACAGCACAAAAAGACAGATGCAGCAAATATGCAAGAAAAGCTACTTCTGTTTGTATTCATACTTTCCAGCCCATTGATTTACTTGGACATTGAGAAATGTTTCAACACTACAAGTTGACAGAACATAAAACTGCATATTAAATACAGTCTTACTCTAAAATTAGCTTTGTATCCACATACTATCA